CTTATATAGTGTGTGTGTGTGTGTGTGTGTGTGTGTGTGTGTGTGTGTAATTAATTGTTAGGATATTATTAGGGGGATTAGTATTCGACTGCTACGGTTTCAGCCTGTAAGCATAGTTACGAATAAAAGTTTAAAAATGATTTATTGAATTAAATTTATTTAACTAAATTCAGAAAAATAGACACTCAAGATTTTGTCCGATCGTATATGTCTATGATTTTCTCTATTGTATGACTAAAACAGTAATATATGAAACCATAGCAGGACATAAGTAAATTCGCACATTTTAAATATTTTCAAAATAGTCGCAAATATACTTAAATATTTCTATTCATCCTTACAGATTCATACAAATGCAATTACATCGAAGAAAATGGAAATTCCGATCGAAGCACGATTTACAGAAATTCTGCAAGATTTGGTTGCTCACCGACATTTATTTTGATTTCGTTTATGATTTGACATTTATTTTAATACACATGTATTTCGCAAAAATATATGAGACCTCTATAAAAACCTTTCAGTTTAATAAAAATTTCAATTTAAGTAAACGATGTAAAGCTCTAGGAGCATGACGCATACCGTGTTATAATATCAAGGTAATAATATCAAGAGCGTCATTATGTCAAAATTAATGTCTGATCATGCCATACTTTGTCATTTTTATTGCCAGATAATGTTAGAAACAAAAGCGAGTTGCAGCAGGAAGAGATGCACACGATGGCAATGTGCATTGTTGAGTGTTTGGTACTGTAAAATATATTTCCGCGATCATCAAACAGTTTGCACAGCCGCTGACTGCAATGTTATGAATGTCAATACTTTTGCATAGTACTTATATACGTATGGCGTCCAGCTTTTGAAAATTGTAAAACTTGATCCCACGATCAACTTCTAACAATTCAGTAATATTTTCTTTTGTGTGCGATGAAGGCGATCACTGCGATACTTTTGATTTTTCTTGCACAATGCACATATCTACATGCCATGCCCAATCCGGAGCCACTCTCTTTTGATTTAAGTCATTCCTGCGTCTTCGGTGATAAATCGATATCGGTGATTCAGTATAATAGGTAAAAAAGGCATGAATATCCATGGTTGATTTTCTTACAATAATTACGTTTATCTTTTTTTAGTCATTATCCCGAGGGCAAAAATGTCGGAATAGAAGAATGCTGTGATGATCTCGATCCATCGTCACAGGTATTCTTCGTGGTTCACGGTTTCATCAGTTCCACAAACGCATCTAGCTTTCAAGAAATGATTTCGAAATTAATACAAGTAAGTGTTACATCGAGTCATTGAAATTGAAAACTGTAACGCACCTACAAAAGATAAAAATCTTCTTTTAAATAAAAAAGTATTGTAAAATTCAGTAAAAATTGCAATCAAGAATTTAGTAATAATAAATAATTTTCTGCTCTTATAGAAAGGCTATACAGTATTTGCATTAAATTGGTCTGATGCGGCTTGTACAAATGGAATACCTGTCGTCAGACTTGCAGAATATCCCAGTGCGGTGAAAAACACTCGTGAAATAGGTGTTCTCATGGCAAAGTATATCTATTTTCAAAAAAAGATATATATATATGTATGTATGTATATATATATATATATATATATATATATAATAATATATATATATATATATATAAATTATATATTATTTTTCTTTTTCAGAAACAAATTCGATATTCAAAAAGTAAAGCAAAACAAAGAAATCTGTATATAAATGATAATTTGTTATTTTGTAACTGCCACTGGTTATGATTTGGACTTTTTTAGAGCCCCTGAACGTCCTACAACTGATACGAAAGATTGTATTATCGTGGATAATAATATATTAGATAATCCTATAGAAGGACAATACGATATGTTTGTCGAGAAGGAAGAGCCTTACTGCATTAAAAACGTACGAAACAATTTTAAGTGCCAACAACAATAAGCCGTTACATGTGACACATAATCTATAAAAATCTATAAAAATCAATTTTATAATAATTGTAAATATGTAAATTGATGTATTAAATCGTTTGAGCAGCACATAGTCTTCTTCCTCTTTTTTCAAAACCTTTGGAACTATTACTGATAAATTGAAACAAACTATGTAATATCTTATTAAATTTTTTTAATAAGATTAATTAACAGGCAAAGATAGGATACGAAGATGAAAGCAAAACTACCATAGAACTTCATTGCGCATTATCGTATATTTCTCGGTTATCTTACTGAAGTAAATTTTATAATAATTATACTTTTATTATCTCATTCGTTCTCTTGCGTATGTGACGTTCATTATTCCCCTTTAAAACAGCAGAGATACTTTCGATAATCATCTGCTACGGAAATAACATTTCGACGTAATTCGCGTCGTATGAACATTGTAGTATATCGCTCAGACGTTTCTTTCGCATTATTTATCATACATATGTTAATATTCCCTTCCTCTTTCCTTTTTTCTCGCATCGCATTCATAAATACATCATCGCGTTGTTAATTTGTTTCGGACAGTCATCTGTAGTTTTCCTTAATCAATATTGATATATCGATAGTCTTGTCGCCAAGTTGGAAATATCGCTTTTCTTTCGATTAGTACAGATAGTCTTTAATCCGTATAAGCTGTGTATTCAATTAATTTAATTTGCAACTGAAAAGATAAAATGATCAAAACTAAATTAGGAGATCCTAAGTTAGTCTTTTCTTTTTTTAATGAGTATTTTCTGCCGTATAGTATCACAATGCGTGATGACGCACACCAGCGACACATTCGAAGAAAAATTACGTGTGCAAAGATAATAAAACTTATATGTTAGTTATGTTATTTTACTGCGACAACAGTAAAATCATGTAATATCATATCTTGCTAAAATCAATGATAAAAATATCTTAATATTTTAAAATCACAAATAAAACATACAAATTATATCTCAACATGATAAAAGCGATATTATAAAATAGCAAAAAATATATAAGATTCACAGTATCGTACTGTTAAATATACGTATATGTATAACAATCTTTTTGATACAATAGAATTTTTAGATATATGATAATAAAGCTATTAATTTAATAAATATATTTCAACTATGCAAGTATAAAATTAAATAAAATAAAGTTAAAGTTTCATTATGTTTGCATTCGCCTTTCTAATTATTTCTGTTGTGTTTTTTCAATTTATAAGGCTTATAATGAGGATATGTATATATATATATATATTGATACTCAGCTATAATATTCTGTATCAAAGAAAATAAAATACTTTGATAAGAATTTAAAAAGGAAATATACTTGTTTACAAATATAATAATTTCTTGACATCTTAAAAATCATCATTCATTTTTTTAATATTTCATACCCTACATAAACTTCGCTTATAACGATAGTCAGACTTAAATATGATAAATTTTGCTAGAATTTAGAAATGATAATATCATGAGGAAAAATATATTGACATATAATCTTCGCTTACATCGAGGAGTACGCATTAACTCATATTTTATTCCGATATTATTTTATTCGAGTAAATACTCGCACAAACAAATGGAGATTTAATTAAATAAAACGTTGAGATATTTTGAAGCGTTAGGAAAACATACATTATCGACTGTCGTTTTTTTTGTTTCTTTCATTTGCTGGATTTGATCTTGCCACGTCCGGAAACATTATGACGCCTCGACTCGTTCGCCTCACACATTAGACTTATAGGTCTGCAATATAGACGGCCTATATATCTCGATACCGCGCATTGTAAGATATCTTTTCTTTTCTTTTTTTTTATTAGTTTGCACGGAGCTTGATCGCGATCAACTTACTTTCGATTTCCGATCCTGCAGAGATGAGCTTAGTGTGCGGTTGTGCAGTCGTACTAGACTGTGGATTATTCAACTGCCCTGTGGTTGTGGGTGCAGCAAAGCCAGGAGGTGGTTGCATCGCCCAATGTTGAGCGGGTGCGTTCTGTTCCTGCACAGAAAACATGAATTATTACATTTCCAACAAGCATGCATTGCTACCGATATAGAATATATGTATTTTGTAGAATAACAATAACAAATGATATGGTGTGTATGTGTGTCAAATTTCAATAAATAAATAATAAAGCTCAAATTGTCAAAAATACACAAAATTCTGTACCTGTTGCGCGTTATGAGTTACAACATGAGAAGGATGAATGTGGGGAAACTGCCATGTGCTGGTAGTTTGGAATGGAAGAGGTCTAGACGAAGTAACTATAGCCGGATCAATCGAAGTCCAATCTGCGATAGGTCCGAAATTGTTCCATCCTTTCTGATGCAACGCTTGATGATGAAACTGCTGCTGTTGACTGTTTATTTCACACCAATCTTTCAGGGCATACACCGCGTCACCTGTGCACTTTCCGATACCTTAAAAAATAAATTAAATATTATAAACAACAAATATATTGAAAATTTCTAAATACAGAAGATTAATAGATAAAATTATTACTTTGTGTGTTGAGAAGCGAACTTCCATTTGGAAGATACGCACTTTGTTGAGATGGTTGTGCTCCTGCAAACATAATGTTGGATGAATATTACTCATAAATTATTATTAATAATAACATTCTATCAATCTTAATGTATGCTTATATATATATTTATAATTTTTAATAAACTGTTAAATCAGATCTTTTTTATAAGACATATAAAAATCTGCGAATAGATCAATAGATCTTCGTGTGTCTACGGCTACGATAAATTATCGTATACGTATGTAAATTTCACGCACTGTGTACTATGATTCCTGATGCCTGGAAAAATTGGAGGAACACTAACCAGAGAGGGCACTATTCGTTGGTGCTGGTCGCGGTATACCGAGACCGAATGAATTCATGTGATTTGGCGTGGAACCAGGAAAACCCGGTGGCGGAAGGCGACTGCGTTGTCCTAAGTTGGTAGCCGTCACTGTGCCCTGTGCAGGACTCTGGGCGCCGCTTGGTAATAAATTTTGCGGAAGACGGGACAAGAGGGAATGCGACTGAAGCACTTGTAGATTTTGCAAGTGCTGAGCTTGTTGTTGAAGATGTGCTATGTGTGCAACCTGGAAAGTATTTGTCTTAATAAAAGATTTAATAAAAATATTAAATTATAAAAAAACATCCATAAAATGTACGACTAAGTTTTGCACTAAATATATTTTATCAATATATTGATAAAATACAAATAAAACCTTGTACTTTGTTTTCATACAAGATCTGATAAGGATATTTACTTGTGGAAAATGCTGTTGGCTAAGATTTGCCAGAGTTTGTTGTTGCTGCACCCTAGTTTGTTCTTCTCGTTCTCTTTGCTGCTGTTGTTGGAATATCTTTTGCTGTTGCACCTGCATTTCATCTTCAGCTAAAAGTTCGGCCAATGCCTTCTGCGTTTCATGAAACGGATCAAAACCTAAGTCGTCATCTGCTTTTACTGTATCTGAGCCTGCATCATGGTGATTTCGAATTTCCTCCATTGTAACATGGCCGTTTTGTTTTATGTATTCACAATTTTCTTGAGTTTGTTGTGCCTTAGAAATTTTATGTAACATTAGTAATATAGTAGCTAATTCTTTTTCAATATAAATTTTATATACATATACACACAAAGAATGTCTTGTTATTCTTTTTAAATACATAATGCAAAAATTTAATTATTATTATTCCGCTTACCTGTATATTAAGCCTTTGTTGTAATGAATTTTGTTGAAAGTCTGCCATAAATTTAGACGCGGGAGAATTTACAAGTAAGTTAGCTGTGAAGGTACCAGATGATGGTTCTGTAAGTGTCGCAGTGTACGGTGCATTTATATAAACTTCCTCTTCTACAAAACTTTCAGAATTGAATGTCACTCTCGGCGAATCAGATGAGCTGGATTTTGATAAAATATGGTTCGTTCGAGACGATTCAGGTTGGAAACCGAAAGCAGCTTGCCAATCTTCGCTAGAATGAACTGTCGGTAAAGAATCAGGTATCGTAGCCACTCCTGTGTTCGTCCAATCCAGACTTGTATTTGCTATATGTCAAAAAACTCATTTATAACTCTTTCAGTTTTTAATTATAACAATGTATAAAAGTGTGGAAAGATGCAAAATAAGAATATTTACATCAATTTTAAAATATTTTTAAAGATAATTCTCCTTCATAATCTTTTTCTGAAAACATTAAACTAATCTTGTTTGAAATTTTTCTTTAAATACTAAAGAAAATTAACAAAAAATTATAGTGTACAAACATGTAAAACTTGTACATGCCTGCAAGGGAATTTGATGGCATCGAAGTGGTAGTTGGTATTTTCTGGAAGGTGTTTGAACTGAAAAACTATTATTGTCTGCCTGAAAGATCGACCGATGATTGATTTGCATTTGAGATCCATTGTGTAGTCCTGGTGGTGGTGGTTGATTGGCACCTTGTGATGAATTTGTGCTAGCTGGAGACGAACCTACAGATGATATGCAAAAATGTCTATACTACACGACGCGGTAAAATCGTATCTATATCCTTCAATGCCAGAATAAACAGTTATTCAAATTATTCCATTGGAAAATATTTATTATATATATGTGCATTACATACATTAATATAAATTTTATAATTCGGTAACAGCGCAAGTGTCTCTACATGTAATAATATTAAAATCAAAATAATACCCTTAATTAATTTAAAAAAGCATAATATATTTTAATCAATTTTTCAGATAATATCCATTCAGTATCCATGCCAGCACTTTTTCATCGTATTTATAAGGAATATGTAAAGTTGAACATACATAAAAACACACAAAAAAAAGAAACGGTTACTACTATTTTTTTTGTCAACGTTTCTCTTTATTTTGGCATATATTGATAAACTATTCACTGTATGTTATCATTCTACATTATCCAAATATAATTATAAAATATTTGACTTACTATACATCATTTAGAATTGATTTATATTATTTAGTTTTGTGCTTTTAAATTGCACACCTATTCTACGCAAAGAATAGGTACACTTTAAATAATTTGTAATTCATTACAAATATTACAATGTATTACAGCTATATTTGAATTAATAACATGTACATTAATATGAAATCAACATAATTTTTTCTAATTTTCAATATTATTTAAAATCCTAAAATTTATAATATCATATGTATATAAGTAATATAAATTATATACATATGTCAACGCAACACATAAAATAATCAACAAAAATGATTCTATAATAACAATATTAGTAACAAATCTTAACTTAAAATAAAAAAATAAACATTTATGATTATATCATAAGTTTGCAATTATAAATTTTATTAATAAAAAAATAATTTCACAACATTTTCTACCCATTTCATTAAAAAGATTTATATTTCAAAATACAATTATCTTTTAATAAAAAAAAAATCATAAGAAGTCGATATACATAGAAGCGATTACGATAAAAATCAGGGTAAAAAACTCACCCAAAAGAATAGCACCACTGTTTTCTTCACTAGATTCAGCTAAGTGTTCAGTTTGATGATTTACATTCGAATCTTCCGTGCTCGAAATTGTACTTGCTGGCGTGCTACCTTCACGTTGTTGATCCGTTTCACTGTCCGAATATCGACGTTCTCCGTTTTGAAATGCACCATTTACTTTAACTTCATGAGACTGTAATTGAACTAATTTTGATGTTTTGTTGCTACTTTGTTGAGATTGTAACGGCTGCTGTTGTTGCTGTTGTTGCTCCATTTTACACTTGTTACCTAATTTTTGCAACATATCACTGTTCGTATCAGCGGAAAAGTTTCTAACATCTTTTTGCCCGGTAATTTGTGACTGTGAATTACTTTGCATGTTGATTGAGCTTGATTCAGATCGCGATGTCACACGAGTGCCATGTTTCTCTTTGTTTTGACTATTTTTATGTTTGTTCCGAGCTGCCTGTGCTTTACTTTCGCTATTACTTTTACCCCGTCGTACACCCACACCACTTTCACCCTTGTTGTTATTATTCTGTTGATGCGTAGACACCCCGGAGGACACATGACTTTGTTGAGCTACCATGCCATTTCCGCTTGTTACATTGCTGTGTTGTGAAGTTGTTTGCACAGGTGGTGATATTTCTTTACAATTGTTTTGTGTACCTAAAAACAAGTTAATATATAGCATCAAAAATTCTTACAAAATTTTGGATTTATTGTATATTTTATTACTAAATACGCACTATTTGTCTGTCCCGGTTGCAACGAAGGCCACGCCTCTTTAGTTTGCGAATTTACAGTTCCACTTTCCCTACTAACAATACTGCCTGTTACAGGTGGTGATGGTGTCGGTTTCCTACAGAAATAAAGATTAAAATTAAATTCGTGTGTTCATAATAGCTCTAAAAAAATTTTATTTTTGTAATAAATATACCGTTGAACTGAAGATGCGTGCGCATGTAACGATTGCACAAGCTTGCGCTCATACTCCTGATGTTTCCCCTGATGCATCTCTTCCTTCGTAAAGGATGCCTCCTGGTCCCCAAGATCGTGCAGGTACATGCAATCTGGCTTCGGACAGACTTGATTACGCATAAAATGCGAACAGTACTTCGTCGTTCCTAATGATGTTTTTATTGTCCGTCCGTCCACAACAATGTTGTTCACAGCCTCTATAGCACGTAACGCATCCTCTTGACGCTGATAACATAAAAAGGTTATCTGTTTGTACGCATCGGCGAAACGACAAATATTAAAATATTAAAAAAAAGAAGAAAAAATTGTCAATTAACTCACTTGATAAGTAACATAAGCCGAAGCACTGGGGCCTTGAGACCCTGCGTAGGAAGTACTCTGGTTAATTACGACTTTGTGTATCTTGCCAAATTTTCCAAAATATTCGTGTTTCTTTAAAACCTAAAGTATGCGAAGTATTATATATCGCGATTTCCTTATTTTTGAAGATATGTACAATATTTATAGATATGAAAAGTTTGTTCTCTATATTATCGATCATTTAGAATACTTGTTATTCGCCATACTTACATCAGCATCTGCCAGCCGCATTGGTAATCCTACTACAAACACTAAATTTTTTTGTACTACTCTCACATTTGCTAGATGTTTCCGATTTTCCGTAACTCTCTGCTTCCGTTGTTGATCTTTCAATCTCTTCTCAGCTTTTAATCTAAAACAAAAAAGCAAAATAGATTGTTTATTTTAATAATATATTAACAATATATTATTTTAATAATATATTTAATAATATATTAAATTACATAATGCGGCAAATATTAATTAGAACGAATAATAAATAAATAAATTAATCAATTAATTAATACCTTGATATTTCTTCCTTGCTAAGGGGTTTAAAATCAGCCGGATTTTCAGAATAGGCCTTTCGACATGCAGGACACAGGCCATTCTCATCGGTACGAATTCTGTGCCAACAAAAACGGCATATTTGGTATCCGCAAGTGCATGGGAAGAAATTCAGATCATCCACTTCTAACGGTTCCATACACAGAGGGCATTCCACTGCATCCTCGCCGCTTTGATTCAATACTGACATCTTGCCGATCTCGTGAATGTCACAAGACAAGCAAATCACAAATATTTATCTAAGTGCCAAAGTCTGTAAATAAAAACATGAGTCCTATAATCAATCAAGTCAATATCATAATATATGCATATATAATTAATATCCGATTATATTATTTTTTGTTGTCTATTTGACACCAGAAACATACAGCTTCCAAATTGAATGCGTTCTAATTTCACTTACATGCAAAGTCGTCACCTTGCTGGTGGCAATTAATTGACAGTGCTCGGGACTTCACTTTATTATACGCTGCTACTTTTGCCCAATCTGAAACAGATGGATACGATCATTAACAATATTCATCGCGTTTTACGTTCGCGGTGGAGAATGGGAGGAGAGAGGGGGATTTTTATCTCTCTAGGCGCATTTTTATCTCGCTGTCGCAGGCGTTCTCTCGCCGCGATCGTTTCGACAACGTAACGTAAATAAATGTGAACACTAGATACTACGCGCGCGACTTCTACGTGACGCAGAAGACCAGACCAAGCGATTCGTCAAAAACGCGAAAACGTTTGACACGTCTGTTTGTCTCTCCAGCTAGACTCCCACGCATTATTAGGTCGAAACAGGTGCGAGCGAACGAGAGAAAAGGAGGATCGTGAACGCAGCCAACGACGAAACAGACCTACAAAGGCGAAAGAGCGACGACAGGTCACGAACCGCGAGTTCCGTTTTGACAGGAGCTGTCAGATTGGGAGCGAGAGACAGAGAGCTCGCGCAAGGGAAGAAGAGGGGAGGGGAAGGGAGGGGAGACAGAGGGAAGCGGGGATGGAAGGGAGAAGAGGAGAACGACTGGCGAGAGGTGCAGCGCGAACAAAGGAGACGTACACACATCGGAATTCTCGCGCGATTACGCACGAGGGACCGTAGATAGCGACGCGATATGACGCGATGCCCTACGCACGACGGAAGATCGTTGACGTCTTGCGGTTCTCCACCGAGTCGAGGTGACGAGAGTTCGTTCTCACCGTACGTGACGTCGGGATTGCCGATCGTAGGGAAGGAAAGAGAAGGGAGAGAGGAGTGGAAAAAATGAAAAATCCTGTACACGGTACTATAGGGAGAGAGGGTTACCGTCTCCTCTCTTTTTTATATATACATTTTATATATATATTCTTCCGCGCGTTCTCCCATTTCTCACGCGTCCTTCGGACACTCTTTCCTCGCGCGCGCTCTCTCTTTCTCTCGTTCTCGCTCTGTCTGCACGACGAAAACGCAAACCATACGAGAGAGCGACGATCGTGAACGAAACAGCTGTTGATAGCGTCCGCGAGAGGCCCGGCGAAGGCAGCGCGAGAAACGTCAAACGGGTGCGAGTGAGAGGGTCCACTGGCTACGCCATAACAGGGAGACCTACGCGAAAACCCACCACGGTAGGCCGCCACGAACGGTGGTGGGGCATGACACGTAAATTCCGCCTCTTGGTTTCTCCTAGACGCCGCGAGTACGCAAGGACGACGATTCTACGTTTCGCGACGCGAGCCTCAAGGGGGGAAAATCGCGACTCCGAAAGAGAGAGAAAGAGGAGGTCCGAGAGTGGAACAGAGAGGACGAGAGCGGGTGGCCGGGAGAAACGCGAAGGGGGGATCACAGGGAGGAATAGATGGTAGGGAGAACGGTGTCGACGAGGCAGAACTGAAAGAAAGAAAGAGATGGACTGACGTTATGTACTATCGAATCAAATCATCGAGAAGAGAAGATTTCTCATCCTGATCTTTCTTTCCAAGCATCTCACTTTTTCTTAATCTACATCATCACACACTGTGTGTGTGTGTGT